AATGATGCAATTGTTTGCTATGATAAAGCAATTCAAATAGATCCAAATTATGCAAAGGCCTATTAAAGTAAAGGTTTGTAATTTCTTAATTAAATTAGGTTATTTATTAACAAATATGAAGAAATACTCATTAGCTGTAGAGAATTATTGGCAGGCACTTCAATATTGCAATTCAGAAAAAGATGAATTCAAACGTTTAATTATGGAATTAAACAATAAAATATGATATATTCATTTATTTAATGTCATTAATATCAGTTTACATTATTTCTTGAAAATTAATTATTGTTTTGATGCTTTTTATCCTTTCATATGTTCACAATCATGACAAGCATTACCAACATTTCCTTTTTCTGTAAAATATTCATATATCTATGCCGTTTACTCTTCAAATCCAATAGTATTAACTCTTCTCTGAATTTACTATATTTATTTTTGTAAATCATTATAAAATTTCATCTTTTACTTTAATCAAATGGAAAAAATGTAGGGGTAATTCAAATTCCTGAAACTATCTTATTTTAAAGTAGATCCTAAATCAATTTGACCTTCATAATGCAGCTATGATGGGAAGAATTTATTTTGTCTAGTAAATTACTTTATTGGATAAATTTTTCTTGGATGCTTTAGGAGGCCTAAAATTGGTTTTAGTTGCGAAATTATCGATTAAAAGTTAACTTAAATCCACCTAAAATCTTAAATGGCTTGAATTTTTCTACGTCTCTTTGTAATATGTGGATTAATAAAGGAAATTGTTATGAGATCAATCTTCTAATACTGATTTAAGAAAAAGAATGACTATGTATTTGAATTGGAATTCCCTAACTTAATTGCACAATCTAAGATAATGAAAGAAATGCTTAGATTAAGTAAGCACAGCTTGAATTACTGATCCATTTCAAAAAGAACTTTACAAATCTGAACTCTAATTTTGATATTCTTCAATAAGTTTACAAAAAATGAAGAAGTTATAGAAGTGCTTGAACAATGCTTTCGAGTAACAGTTGCTTTAATACTCAATGATTCTATAAAATTATGCTAAAATATTATTTTGATGTAGCATAAAATTAAATAAACTATGAATGGCTTCTTAAGTTTCTTCACTTATTGAGGATTTATGAAATAAAGCAAGCATCTTAGAGATAAACACTTAGTTCATATGGTAAAGGAGAAAATGATTTAATTAAGTCACAATATTTTACCAACAACAAGGAGTCAATTCAATAGATGAAAACAGTAATACTAAATTGGGTTTTTAGTATGACTTTTTTTTAGTATTTGTAAGATTTTAGTGAGTAGAGAAGATTGTTTTTAAGTAAGTTTAGAGAATTATTTTTTCGTTTAGAAAAAAAAATTGTTAAAGAGAGAGAGATTTATTTAGAATAATTTTACTTAAATACATAGCCAGTACTTAATCTTGAATTTTAAAATTTTTATGCTCGATCCGCTTTTTTATGTAGGTACTCTGTTAATAGGCATTACAAGATATCATCTGGCTTTAGCTGTGAGAAATGATTAAAACATTTAACCAGTTATATATGTAATCCGAATTGCTATATAATAGTGCCCTATAATTCTCATAAAAATTATTGAGATCCTAGATTTCTTATATAGATCTGTCATGAGAGCTATATCCATTAATAAAAATTGCTTATGCCATCAGGATCATTCAAGTTTTGCTGGATGCGTATCCAAACAATCTTATAACAGGATTNATGCTTTTTATCCTTTCATATGTTCACAATCATGACAAGCATTACCAACATTTCCTTTTTCTGTAAAATATTCATATATCTATGCCGTTTACTCTTCAAATCCAATAGTATTAACTCTTCTCTGAATTTACTATATTTATTTTTGTAAATCATTATAAAATTTCATCTTTTACTTTAATCAAATGGAAAAAATGTAGGGGTAATTCAAATTCCTGAAACTATCTTATTTTAAAGTAGATCCTAAATCAATTTGACCTTCATAATGCAGCTATGATGGGAAGAATTTATTTTGTCTAGTAAATTACTTTATTGGATAAATTTTTCTTGGATGCTTTAGGAGGCCTAAAATTGGTTTTAGTTGCGAAATTATCGATTAAAAGTTAACTTAAATCCACCTAAAATCTTAAATGGCTTGAATTTTTCTACGTCTCTTTGTAATATGTGGATTAATAAAGGAAATTGTTATGAGATCAATCTTCTAATACTGATTTAAGAAAAAGAATGACTATGTATTTGAATTGGAATTCCCTAACTTAATTGCACAATCTAAGATAATGAAAGAAATGCTTAGATTAAGTAAGCACAGCTTGAATTACTGATCCATTTCAAAAAGAACTTTACAAATCTGAACTCTAATTTTGATATTCTTCAATAAGTTTACAAAAAATGAAGAAGTTATAGAAGTGCTTGAACAATGCTTTCGAGTAACAGTTGCTTTAATACTCAATGATTCTATAAAATTATGCTAAAATATTATTTTGATGTAGCATAAAATTAAATAAACTATGAATGGCTTCTTAAGTTTCTTCACTTATTGAGGATTTATGAAATAAAGCAAGCATCTTAGAGATAAACACTTAGTTCATATGGTAAAGGAGAAAATGATTTAATTAAGTCACAATATTTTACCAACAACAAGGAGTCAATTCAATAGATGAAAACAGTAATACTAAAGTGGGTTTTTAGTATGACTTTTTTTTAGTATTTGTAAGATTTTAGTGAGTAGAGAAGATTGTTTTTAAGTAAGTTTAGAGAATTATTTTTTCGTTTAGAAAAAAAAATTGTTAAAGAGAGAGAGATTTATTTAGAATAATTTTACTTAAATACATAGCCAGTACTTAATCTTGAATTTTAAAATTTTTATGCTCGATCCGCTTTTTTATGTAGGTACTCTGTTAATAGGCATTACAAGATATCATCTGGCTTTAGCTGTGAGAAATGATTAAAACATTTAACCAGTTATATATGTAATCCGAATTGCTATATAATAGTGCCCTATAATTCTCATAAAAATTATTGAGATCCTAGATTTCTTATATAGATCTGTCATGAGAGCTATATCCATTAATAAAAATTGCTTATGCCATCAGGATCATTCAAGTTTTGCTGGATGCGTATCCAAACAATCTTATAACAGGATTGGACAATCCATGTGCAAAGCAAATTCATTCTCATCATATAATTTCAATCAAAGTGATTGACTTTAGCATAAAACTTAGTCATCGGATTCTTTTATTTTAAAAAACATGTTCCGGCTAAGATGAGCATATACCATAGCATTCTTAATATCCCACCATCCATCTTGTTGCTCCTTTTATTTCTTCATAATCTCACATGATTACAATTAACTGATTAACGCTTGTTCCACTATATGTAGATGAAAGACGATTTTATAATAGCATTTCAATCTTACTAAATCTCTTAGAGTGTTTGGGCCTTAAATACAATTAAGACCATATTATATCACTTAATTTATTTTGTTTATGAATAAATACTTCGTCTTTTTTGTTAAGTTATTACTCAAATGTTATTTTTTTAATTTCTATAATTTAGGATAATTCATTATATTTCGAAAACTTCATTAATTGCATCTGAAATTTGAAGCTTATCAAAGTCTTCTTGCATGAGATTTAATACAATCTCAATTACCTATCAAACCATATATACAGAACCTAACCATTTTATCAATAATAATTCCTTTTCAGTAAATTCCTAATATCTAAATTACTCATTATTAGGGTACTTAAAGATCAATGGCCTAATTATTAGTTTAGAGACATCCTTCAAATAATCCATTTCTATTATTTTATCCATTTTATGTAAAACACTTCAAGGCCAGTCCTGGATTTATTGAGATCTTCTTATGAAAGTGAGAAAGTTGGGTATTTTGAGTAAATTGATTTAAGCCAAAATGTTAAACTAGTTATAAGAAATAATTCTTGTAATGGCAGCCAAACTTTACATATCATTTGCATATTTTCAAAATTCTTTATGTTATTCTAAAATGAGTTTTTTATTGATATGAACCTAAAACGAAAAGTTCTAATAATATATTATAATTAATTAGATTAGATAAGGCAATAAATACTTTTGGATGTTTAAACAATAATAAATAGAAACATGCAGCATATTTACAATGAAAACATATCTTTAATTACAAAAAATGGAATAAGATAAAAACTATTTAGATTAAGTTTATGTCTGATTTAACTTTTGATGGAAAATTTTTTCAATAATTTTTAAGTCATGAATTAATTTACGTAAGTTTAAGTTTTATTAATATTGTGTTATGGTTTCCTCATCAAAAATTATCGCTATGATTGAAAATTTATTTAGTTCCAATCAAGAAGCTGCAACATAAATGCATCCTATTTCTATTACAAAACAAAGATCCTCTAAAATTAAGGGTATGTTAATTTGATAATATTTTTTCTAAATCAATTCATAATAATCAAGCGATAATCTCTTAATTTCCCTCAAGACTTTTGTAATATCTTTTTTCATGCTAAATAATAGTTTCTTAATTTAATTTCTCATACTAAATGAATCATTTATTTGATGTACAATAGGATTTATATAGCTTTTCTTTGTATTAAAATAGAAATATATTGTAGAACTTTTAAATACTCAGTTTAAGTTGGCTTGTTTCTGAAAACTGGCTTTACAATATGTCAAACTCCCTCTTTAATATCTTCTATTGGGAAGTATCCAATTGCATTAGAGGCAATTTTGTTTATTTTCTAAAATAGAAAGAGCATAGGAAAATTAATAGGAAAATTTAATTAATTTCAATACTCATTTAGATTTTATAAATCATAGGTAAGCTCAATGAAAATATTCCACCCTTGTTTAAGTTTTAAATTTTTCTTCTATTCATTTTATAAAAAGACCTCCCGTATTAAGGTTTCATTTCTTAATATATAATTTACTATGCTATTAGAGCATACTCCATTAGATATGATAGAATTCATTTTTATTTTGTAAGCCCATTAATTCAAATTATGGATAATAAGCAGTATGAATAAATTTCTTTAGCAATTATAATTAGTGGTATCTTCTCCAGCTATGAATAGTGTAAGAATTTAAAATAAGAAGAATTTTTTTGATTAAGTACATTGGAAATTTAAGGGTTACGAGCACTGAATAATTGGTTTCTAATGAAGTAGAAAATACACAAATGAATACATGCCAATAATTAGTCTATTTAGAGACGACTGGAAATGATGAAGAAATCACACTAAAGGAAGTTGATTTCAGATAAAAAAATTTAGGGAATAATTAGATAAGACCTATTTTTAGTTTAATATGAAGTAAGTTAGTAGCTTTATGTCTAACAGTTATAAATTTATATAAGGGTAAGTTTTTTATTAAAGGAATTGAAGTTTATATTTTTAAGGATTATTATGTTATATTACTCGCGTGTAAGGTCTAATTGATATCTAGTGATGCAATTATACATAGAGCATCATTACAATTAGCTTCATGCGAGAAATAATGATCACCAAGAATTTGTTTATGTATACTGTGTTTAAACTTATATTAAAAATCTGAATAATCATATTTTAAAGACTTTCTTTATAAGTATTATCTAAGACGATATTGAGATTTCCAATTTATAAAAATGAATACGGCAGGGTAAAATTGAATACTTGATTTTAATATATTTACAACTCATCCCTAGTCTACAAACGTAAATGTTTTGCTTAAATGAAATAGCAATTTTTATTAAAGGGATTTTTTGTTATAATGTTAAAGTTGTATTTAAAAAATCCATTTATCTTTCTCATATCTTTAGTTACTAATAATATGAATGATTGCTATTATTTTATTGGTTTTAAAATACGAGGATACCAATCCTTAAGAATGCTAAGAACAAAAGTCGATCATCAATTACGTTTTTAAACTATAATGATTAAATTGGAAGATAAGTCTAGTCTACTGAAACATCTTTATTTAATCTATTAATATTAGTCTTTAAAGGCTTAAACTAAAAAATAAAATTTGTAGCTTCCATGAGATTCTTTAGTGTTCAAGAAGTTGAAGAGACAAGAAGTTAAGAAATCTTTAATATTCTAAAACTCAAGGGCATAAGGTGTAAAATAATTTACAGTAATTTTTCAGAAAAATCTGTTAGCAATAATATTTATTCAAACAAGATTTAATTTAAATAATTTAAAGTGACTGCCCTTCTTACATTAGTTAAATTTACGTTAGCTATGTATTACTGACACTCCTGTATCTGTTACTACTTGCTCAAATAATAGCACAATCTAGAGTACCTTAACAACTGTGTTAAACTCAAAAACTCAATACAAACATAAGTAAATAATTGATAACTCCTAGCAGTTTATAGAAAACTCCATCTATGGATTCAAATGGAAAGATCTATCTATTAGCGCCAGTGTAAAATTATCTTTTAGATAATTGAAAATTCAGAAGAAATTTAGATAATTTGAACATTATTAAGATTCATTACTTAGAAGTTTTAATTTATTTTTAATTCACATATTTTAGTTATCATTATATAGAATCTTTAGACTTCTTAATTAATACATTGTACACTTCTATAAGTAATCAATAAATTGTCTATAAGTATCCTCATAACTATGTAAATTTATAACTTTCATAGTTAGAGTCATACATAAAATATGGAGTCTCTTGTTAATGCTTATCAATAAATGAATAAATTTCATAGAAAATTGGTTTTGGAGTATTTTAGTGTAAAATAATTTCTTTTTGAAATATTCTCTCGCATGAATTGAGAGAATGGTTAGTAAAGCAAGGAGACTGATAAAAGCTTAGTTTTTGAAATTTCAATTAAGAATTTATCAGCTCTTTCTAGGCAATTAAGGAAATTTAGATCATGCTTATAAGAAATGATTAAATGCTCAGAGAGAGAAGCTATCGCTAAGCCTAAGAGCTTTTGCAAATAAATCAGTCAAAATTTTGATTATATTCTAAAGGTAGCTTGAGACATATAAAATTGATATTTTATTCAAAGATGAACATAAATTATTCTTATATGCTTTTTGTCATTTCAACTTTGCTTTGCTTGTTGAGAGAAAAATGGTGGTAGAATGTTAATAATGACTCAAAGCAGAATTTATTCTTATTTCCTTTTTATGCTGGCTGTAAGTATGTTTATCAAATTAAGCTTTAATAATTATTCTAATCAATTAGGAATTATAAATTCATCAAATTAGAAAGATGTTGAATTGTATTCATTTTATTTTGGGGATAATCATCTTTACTGTATTTAAATAAAGTCTTAAGATAATGAAAGCAAATTCTATATCAATTGGTGTAAATCTAAATTTAATAAAAAAATAATTATAGATTTATTTGAATGTATTTTGCTCCTCTATATATTATTGTTCTAAAAATCTTAACTATTAATCTTTCTAATAATTAAATAGATTAATATTTTTAATGAAACTACTGCTATTGTTTTTCTTATTAGAGTACTCAGATTTTGCTCCATTACAGGCTGCTGATGCAAATGCAAAATTTTCTTAAAATGATCTTTATGCTTTAAGAGAAGCATCTATTATTAGGGGTAATTACAAAGATGTAGCTTCACAATTTAATGGAGCACTATTATCCACAGCAAGAGCCAACTCTTTTCAGTCGCCAGGTTTTGAAAATAATCCTTTAAGAAATCTACTCTACTACTATCCCCCAGACCCGCTTCTTTATTAAGGGCATGTTATTGCTTGGCTTGGTCAATCAATAATAGTCCAATTTTTATAAGCATATTAAATCAATACTGTAAGGTTTTGGATGTGGGATGGTGATAGTAGAGAAACAGACATGCAAGTATTCGCAATAGCAGCTGATAGGAAGACTGAAAACGTTATTTTTGATAATATTAGGGCCAAACCTAATGTAAATGTTGTAAAGTTTTCGGATTAATTGGTATCAGGCTTGAGATTTTACTGTAGAGGAGGGAATAATGTAGACCATTAAGCTTTGTCGATTATAAAAATATAAGCCTTCTATGCCTTTTGATTATCAATAAAAATATATAAAATAACAATAATCTCCTTTATTTTATAGAACTGGAATATGAAAAATATTTCTACAGCCTTCAATGTTTGATCAAATTATTTTCAATAAATAATGTTTCACAGCATCAATTTTTAGATTAAAATGTTTGTGGTTGACATTATAATCTCTTTATTTGAACACCTTTAAAATAGATATTGTACAATTCTTAACTTGTCTCTAAGTATTTTTTTGTGGTCTGGCAGATTAGTGATTTATCATCATATAAAACTACTTTTTATATTTATTTGAAGAAGTAAATTGGTTTAATTATTATTTTAGAGCTTTATTGTATCTCTGTGCGAAATCGATTATAGGAAGTATTATTTAGTTAATAAATATAACATCCATTTTAGACATGTTAATAAATACTGAGAGTTAATTATTTTAGAATAAAACTCACTTTTGATAAGTTTTTTTACCTAATTAATTCCTTCCATATAAATTGATCAATACTCTTAATAATAATGATGTCTGATATTTATAATAAAAAATTCCTCAATTAGCTAGTAAACTGTATTTAGTATAATCAAACAACATACAATTTTCTGGTTTTCATATAGTGGAGCACTAGTGTTTAGGAATTAAATATTATTGTACAAAAAATTAATTAATATTGTTAATTAGTTTGAAAAAATAACAGTTTAATTTGGATGGAAAATTAACGAATATTCATAAAATTCTGAGCAAAACCCATTATTTATAGAGATGGTTACCTATGTTAAAAACTTATTATTAAATATAAATTACTACTAAACTTCTATCTAATACTATTTCATTTAAATTGATTTATATAGACAATTCAAATAACCAAGACCAAATATGTTTTTTCAAAAAAGTACATCACCATATCTAATAAAAAATTAATTATAAGAGAATTTTGAAAATGCTCTATAAAGAAATATTCCTAAGTAATTTTCGATTTTCCTGTTCTAAAATAGAACCAAAATTTACTGCTGATATTATGGATTCTGATAGACTTGACCCCATCCATTTATGAAGATGTGATAGTTTTCATATTTTTATTGATGGCACGCAAGCACATTAATTATGAAAAATTTCACTATTATCTTGCCATAACACTTAAACTTATTATTATTGAAAAGAGTATATTCTTTCCTGTAGTCCTTAAATAATAATTTATTTATTCGTGATAAATACTTATATTCATATTTTTGTTCTTTACCACTTAAATCTTACTCTATAATTCTTTGTTTTGTATGTGGGTTTGTTACAATCACCAACATCTTAATTAAAAATAAGTTATTTTCGACAGCTTGCCATAGAATAGCAGCGAAGCGCATAAACTACTTATATTATTTTAATTAATAAAAATTCAAACAAATCAATTCATTAATTGGCCTAATAAATATTAAATTTTGGTGTATCAAATAATTGAAAAATTATCTAGACTCTTAACTCCTATTTAATATTATAGGTTAATATTTATAGAAGATTTTGGGTTGATCGCTTCCAATTTTAGCTTGGTTTATTGTAATTTGCTTCCCTTATTATTAATTCAATTCATTAGCAATCATTTTTTTTTGTAGAACATCATTTTGAATCATAATCCATTTTTCACTACTAAAGAGCTCCATGATTTAAATTATTGATATAGAGACTGAGCGCCATAATTCCTTCGAATAGATATGAAGCAATCACTCATGAGGCAGTGATTAGTATCTATTTCATTGGCTTTTCTTCCTACAACTATCTTGCTTATAGGTTTGTAATGGTTTCCTTCTTGGATTCCACCTTTTCATTTTTCTGTTTTATCAAGAGTTATATAAAGTCTATTCCTCCCTAGAATTATTTGCAACTTTATTTAAGTAATTTTGCTATTTGCGGATAACCTTTATCAATTAAACGGTCAAATTTTCTTTTGTTATATTTTGGGATCAGGTTGCCTCTTCAGAAATTATTTTTCTTCAGATATAGGGTTTTATGTTTATTAATATAAAACTTTTTAAAATCCTGAATTTAAAATTTTCCTCTCTTTTGTTTTCTAAAAATTATTTATTAACTATTTAACCTATTCTCTATTTTATTGTTCATTAAAGTGATTTCCTTTTAAGATTAGTTTCCTGATAGGACCTCCTATCAGGAAACTAATAAGTGATCTTTGTTGCTGATGTTATACACAGATTTCATAATTGTATATCCAAGATTTATGCTATAAGACTGAATTTTTTCTTGAATAATTATACCAATTTAAGCAAAATTATCTCGTGGCAAGGATTCTACTTCTATTATTATTTAAATATTTGATCAATTGAATAAGATAATTGGTCCAATGCTACGATAAATGTACAGTTTCTTAATTCTTAAACTTTATAGTTTTCCCTTGTTTCTAGAGAGGTATTCTTTATGACTTTAAGGGTTGATGCACTTAATCATATATTTCATTAAAAGGACTTTGAAATTGATAAAACACGTTTTGGAATTGCATTTCATTAACTGAAATTGTTCTATCATAAAATTTAGGTCAGAGTATGATAAGATTTAATTATTGCTTGATAATATTTCAAAAGTATTTTTGAAGCAATTAAAAATTAATCAATTAGAATAGAGAAACTAAATTAAAAAGGCATATTGTCAAACTTTCTTGTGTGATTCTTCAAGCATTAAAATTACACATTTATTTAAATTAATTATCTTTCAAATGAGCAACCGATGATGACTTCTTGGTAAATTTTGAATTCATTTTTATAATAATAGCGATATTATTGTTACAATTTCTAATGAAATAAAACTTACCCCACAATTAATGGAAATCAAATTAATAAAGGAAATTTTTATAAGTTAATCCGTGACAACCAAAATCAGGTATTAATGAATAAAATAAATTATTTGATCGCTACTTAAAATTATCTACTCATTTTCTAAAGTAATTCTTAAAATAAAAGATTTAGAAAAATTCCTATTAATTTCTAAATAATGGCTAGAGCAAATTTTTTGATAACCCTCCTAAAGTTTCTGATACTTAAATTACATTTGGATGTTTAAGAAGCTATTGATTAGAAGATACTGAAAATTTCTAAAACAATAACATTAGTAAGAATGGTGTCCATCCATATAAATAGAGTAAAAGATGGATAAATTGATAAACTGTAAAAGTAATGATATAAATCCAAATAATCAGACCTCCGAAGATCATATGATTACAAAACTCATCCACTTTAATGTAAAGGGGAACTATTTTTATAGTTTTAACAGTTGTCAAACATAGAATTTATTAACCCGCTCGATAAGAATAATATTTAATTTCTATAGGTTGATAAATGAAGTATATAAGAGCTGCTATATAAAGTGAGAGGAACCATATAAGCTATAGGTCAAGGTAGCAAAGATTGTACAATAGAGCAAGTCTAGTAAGACAATTTCAAAGATAGACTAATTGTCTATCTAAATACTGAATATATTGAAGGATCACATTTGATACAAAATAAAATAAAGGACTAAATCTAGAAAAAAAATGTGGATGGAATTCAAAAATGCATTATCATTCTACATAGAATATAGATAAGCGCCTTTCTTTAAATAAACTAAAGGTGTGAGAGCTCAGACAACGCAAAAAAAAATCAATCAAAAAAGTATTTTAGGTATCTGCTTTGTGCACTGCTATGATATTTGGGACCTAAAGAGAAAAAAGATTCCATCAACGTTGTTTAAAAATGTATATAATATATAATACCCTATTTTTAAGTATCCTATTTGATATCTATCTTCAAACCATGTCTTTAGACAACACATTTTTTAATATTTAGTTCATACTGAAATTGCGTCTTATTAATATTGTGACAAGTAAAACTCAGGCGAAAGCAAAATAAGAACATTAAAGAGTAACTCTGCTTCTAAATTAAATTATTGAAGCCCATTCGTTATTATTTAATAGTTTAATTACGTCTTAAGATAAAACCTATTACTTTACTCTCAATCATTTAGAAATTAAATGAATTGGGCTTATTATGGAATAATTTTTTGAGAGTAATATTTTGAGCCTCTAACCAATGGTAGAATAGAAGGAATTACACAAATTTGTTAAAAAAGCCTAAAATTATTAGATTCTTCGCTAGGTATATTCCTATAAATTAACTTAATTTTTTTAGTATTTTAAACTGATTTCATAAATGATCAACAATAAAATATCTTGTAATAATGTGCAATATTTTATTTTAGTTTTTTATTGTTAAGTAACTTGCAAAATATTTCGTTTCTTTTGCGAGTAACATAGCAATGAAATATTGATATGTTTCTGATGTTTATTTCGTTCATTATTTATTAAATATTACTCTCAAAATAGAGCTTAGTTGAGAAATTCTGCTTATATTATATAGTTTGGCTGACTCAATTTCTATTTTAAAGCAGCTAGCATGATAGAATAGCCATAATATTATAAAAATAGATTCAAATATTCAATTACTTGCAGGATAATTTATAACCCCATTTAGTTTAATAATTGATTATTTTGAACTCATTTCTTTAAAATGTCAAGTTTGAACAACTTTAGATACTAAGTAATTATTCTAGAATTAGTACGTTTGATAAAAGTTTTACATGCAGACATACTCTGCTAATTATCATTTAATTTAGTTATAAGGGGCCTCAATATTACACTTTAGAAGTCTGAGAAATATATTGAGGTGCTCCCGAGGAAAATTATAAACTACTCTTTATCACAAAGAGGCTGTTATATTCCTAACTTTCTTTTACACACTTCTTCCAAAGCCTTCTATTCAAGTCATTAAGTTTGTATTTCCAATTTTGGTCTTAATGCTGTAATATCAATATAGATATAACGATTATTCTGGCTTAATATACATATTTGCCATTCATAAATTAATTGAGGATAATAAGTTCCATGATGAAGATAAATTATGATGTCTAGTTTATAGGAAATAACCTTCAGTAAATTTAAATAATTTCATCGATGAAATTAATTCTCTTTTTATAAAGCCTACTTAATCTTTTGATTAATTCTTAGGACACTTTATGAATAGGCCAGTTTTCATAAAAATCTAATTCTTTAGGTCATTTACACGAATCAGGAAATTAAAGATTTTTTCTGAGTAACCGTTTTCTTTCAAATAAGCATTTAATCATACCCACCAATGCTTCTTGTGATCTTCTTCTGCTTTTTTTTTGGTCTTAAATAGGTTTATATATATATATCTATATGTTCAATAAATTTTCTTGGATTCCTAACTTTGTATAATATCTTGTCCAACCTTCGAAGCTTCTTCATACATTTAGGTGCTTATTATCTAACTAACAAATTATAAAAAAGATGATACTGTATAGCATAGGAGTGAGAATTGCACATTTGCAACTAAAGGAAAATTTATTTAATAATATATAAAGTTTGTATATTTAAAGTTGATTCGGATAAAGTGACTATAAGTATCCTTTCTGGAATATCAAGTAAAGGATTAACATCAGCTTATTTAAAGGGATTAGTACAGGTTATAAGTAAACAAAATTACAAATTACACGCATAACAATTTCAGATGATTGTTCTGAACCACTTTTCAATTCACAAGTTGTATTAAGGGAGACTTATTATTAATTCAGATTACTGTGCAAACGCAATTACATCGAAATGTGAGACTATAAACACCAATGCATTTTGCAATTATGAACGCTAGCAAAAACTATAAATCTGTTGCATAGTTGTGGCTGCATAATTGCTGTATCTAAAAGTATTTTATAGAGATATTTGATTCAATTTATTGCTCCTTACTTTTATAGGAATTAAAAAATTGAGATTTACTTTTCCTAGCTCAATAACAATACTCAAATATGAGATTAATAAATGATTAAATTA